GTATTTTTATGTACACGAAAAGTTTCGAGTAAAATTAAGTGCATTATTTAGTGCAAAACTATGTTTGCCAAAAATATCATAAATGTAAAGAAGAAAAATACTTTCATACAACTGAACCAGAAATGTTAAATGAAACTATTTTACGTATTTTATCACTATAATAATGATTGTGTCTCTAATCATCAGTAAGTTACACACATGGTGATTGAACTACATGGCTCATTTGCTTTTATTTATCGACATTTGAAATACTTTACAATGTTAATGGATAAAAATTTCATGTTCGTCTAAATGTTGTAAATCTAGGTCAATTTTTTGATCGCCTATAATAAAGTCTGTGAACTTTTACTATTTCATCTTTTTCGAGGAAATTAGTAATAGAATTTTTAATCTGCATATTCCATAAGCAATAATTCAATATCTCTTTTTATTTCTGGGTACAATTGGTGGAAAAACTATTATATAATAATTTCATAAATATTATTGCTACTGAGACTAAATGAACATTTTCAGAATATACTTAAAACAAAATACCTTCGTGTGTGAAGAAATACAACAAACAACACACGAGCTGGGCTATTTTAATCACCGAATAATAGACGATTAACAGCCTACTATCTAACTTACAAACGATGTTTATAGAATACAATAAACAAATGGAGCAATTTGTGGTAACAAACTTGTTGCTCAATGGCTTAGACTATTTGCTTGCTAATAAGTTTATCACTGATATTATGTACTACTGTTATTTTCCATTCATTTCGCTCAAATCATAACGTGTACTGTAAAAAAGCGTAAGGGCGTCTCTTTTCTTTGACGTTTGGATATTGCATTCCATTCACTTGTCGTTCATCATTCGTTCATGACCAATCGTTCACAGACCATTGAAATATCTTCATTCTAAACACTCGACATAAAATTAGGTCTGTATAATAGACAGAGAAGTTCTTAGACATTATTTTCAAGCAGCAGGTGGGAAAGTAGTTAAATTTTATAGTTTCGTTAATAAAGTAATAAATATACCATATAAAAGCAATCACAATAGCCCAGTAGTACTATCGTTTCTTACAAAGCTCTTCTCTGGTTTTCAAAGCAATAATATTTGTCATCATAACTTCGATTTATATCGTTGGTTTGACCTTAATGTCTCCGTTGACCACTTATATATTACATAAATCCAGGCAAAGATAACTAGAATTTTTTATGTAGTACTGGACTTTAGGATATCGTATTAATACGAATGAATCGGTGAAAAGTGGAATAATATTAACGTAAATAAAAAAATCTTTAAAATTTATGTTTAAGTAAGCTGGATAATGTTTTAATAATGATTCAAATTTAAATATCTATATTGCACTCGTAATTTACATTTAACGTTTAGCTTACAAGTCTTTGTAATGAAATGTAATCTTGTATAACTTTACATCATATCATTTCGCTTGGTCTGGATGCAAATAATATATACGAATCAATAACAGAATATGGCTGCTGTATTACATCTGTTTACACTAATATGAGACGTCATTAAACAATATGTCAATGGCAGTATTATTTTGTACTTCAAGAATTTTTGTTTCTTTTTCTTCAATGTTTTATAGCTTAAAACTATTCGTTTCGATTTAGCCTTCAATAAATATGTACCAGACAACATCGTCTATGACGTAAACAATATTGATAGTCCAAAGATAGTGATCTAAATATTCTCGTTTATCATTAAATAGGTCAGCGTATTGGGACGGTCAATGGAGGTAATCTGTCAGGATTAGGGATGCCATCTGTTAACGACGTTTATTGTGTCAGCGTTTAAGAGTTTGTAGCGGCCATCGTGATGGTACGTGATCACCGTTGGTCTTTTATTCTATTAATAAAAAAATGTTCGCTTTTGAATAAAAATTAATCGTTGTAGTAGATAAATACAGTTAACTCTCATTTAACATGTATTGTTATATTCGTCAACAGACGTACACCCGGTTTCCGAAACACTGATCATCGTAGATGTTAATTAATCAGCTACGACTATACGTTTTAATGATTGGCAACGCATCTGTAGCTCATCAGGTGTTGTAGTTATCATCAAGCGAACCGACGGCTCACTAGCCAACTTTTGATATAAAAAAAACATAAAATACCTAGATATAAATGATTTTTCTATGACCATAATTTATTTGACTACAAAAACGGTACAAATTTAACGCGAACTGTTTTCGCCTTGGAGATAGTTTCCACTTTTTAAATGATATGCTTTTCTATACAAAAATTAATGACAGCTTTGGCTTATCATTGTTCATCTTTTTCACTGTCTTACAATCTTGTTTACGGATATAATAAAATTGATTGAAATGTCATTAAAGTTTGCATTTACAATATTGACGTAGATTTTCCAAACTTTAAGTATTTGGGTTTTAGAGATAGAGGGATTGTATTACTTTTCAGCGTAGGTAGAATTTTATTTAAATTATAATTAAAAGCAATTGGTCTGACTATTTCTCGAGTATAAACATTTTATATAAAAAGCAGTACATATAACTTTTAACAATTTGGTTGTCCCATGAATTAACATGGCCAAAATGATTTCATTTCTGAGCTTTCTAATCGTGTGACGTACTTTACTGATTTAAATAGAAATCTTAAAACATCAATATAGCTTTCATCAATATAGCAAAATATCAGCTTTTAATTAAGGCACTCCGACCGTTATATATCACTTTTTTATATTAATTTTATACGATTCTTTGTGTAATTTTAATGATATATATATATATATATATATATATCATTAAAATTATAATATATATAATTTTCATTATTTTCATCATTATATGCGATATTAAATATTTTGAGCATTTCTGGATTTTTTTTCTGGATTCGTTTCTTCATATTATTTAAAAACTACTTCAGTGAGCTGTAATTATCGATTTTTTTTTCGATAATTACAGCTCACTGAATCTGATGGAGGGGCAAGTTCACATTAGAAGACGAAGCCCCCATAATAACAACCAAAAACAATAGCATAATCAACAAGTATTTACACGGTTCTTTATTCCTACACCGTTACACCAGTCAACATTAAACGAAGTAAAATTATTTTGAGACTGATTGTCTCCTATACGGCTCATTTCGCACACACTCCAGATATGGTAGACATCTTCGACCACACCAGATTCGGAACAATTGGAGGAATCGGCTTTTGCCATCATAAATGTGAATTTATTCAATGTGATATGTCCTGAGCGCAATCTGAAACTCGTCGTAATGTCATGTCTTCCCACATCTCTTCTATCAAACCATGGCATCCGAGGTGAGGTTGGTTATATGTTTTTATACCAAATAAATTTCGTGAGTAATCTTTTATCAAAGTATTCGTACCATAATTGAGACTAAAGCTCCTTAATATTACCCAACAGGTTTGTGTAGAAAGGTAAATAATCAAGACTAACACCTACTACTGAGGCCTCCTTTACCAGCGTATCAACTGCAACATTTGCTGTAATACCAATGTGGTAAGGTATCCATTGGGCAATAACCCCGCTACTAACATTTATTTAAAGAGTTTAAAATTTTGTACGCTAATGGAATACCTCTAGTCATGTTTGTACATCGATCCAAATGTCGTTAAGCACTTTTAGGGTCAGTGAATATTATCGAAATTCTACAATTATAAGAATCACATCTAAAGAGGAAGATTAGTGTCCTTAGAACACTAATCTTCCTCTTTAGATGTGTAAACAAAATGGCTAACTAGCTCTTTTCAAAGTAAATGCTTACGTTCTTCTTGATCATTCATTCTTAACCAATTTGCATCATTTCATCCATGTTTCGTTTCGTTTTAAACCTACAAATTCGTCTTATCGCGCAGTTCTTTATTTAAAGATAATTTATTAATTATAATCTTGATTACTGAATCACATTTTGTTAGTCCGTATCAAGTTATCAACTTACTTAACAGTTTACCGATTAGTCTCGCCGCGTAGAGAGTTAAAAAGTGTCAGTCAAAATTTAATCAATTTCTACTGGATGTTCCTTGGAGAAATTTTCAAATTTGATAGACATATTACGACTATAAAATCCTGTTATGATAAATATGGTAAATTTAGAGACAAGATTTTTTTTATTGATTAATTTGTTAGATTAACATTTTAACCACAAGTTAGCGTAATTTTTAATTTGTGGAGGAGTTAGATCAATGGCCAATCTTACTAATTGTCTTATACATATTTGCATTACGTTTATTAATCGACGATATCAATCACTAACATCTAAAAAGAGAAAAGCTCTGTCTTTGGAATGTTGTTGGGATAGTTACTCATGCAACAACGTACGCCTTAATTGTATAGGAATTGTTTTCGTATGTGTTAAAAAAGACGTTGCCAAAGTGTATTATTAACATCGGCCTACAATCTTAAAATCTTCTAAATGACAACTTTCCATAACAACTTGATTTCCTTTGAAACAATAAACACCATTATCTACCGCTACTAAACATCACACAGGATTAAAGACCTTTATTTATTTTATTTCTTGTGAACCATGCGAATTTATATAGCTTTAAATGAATATTCAATATGGATATTATGTGATGTTAAAATATCTATTTACCACAAATTCAAAAAGAAAGCTTTGAACTGTTATGGTTGAAACATCAAGAGACTTCTAATCCGAATCCAAATAGTAAAGTAATTTTAGTATTAACATAAAAACAAAAGCTTTCTAGAGCATCAAAGTAAATACTCATAGAAGTAATATTCATACGACAATGTTAGTTCTTAATTTTATTAGGAAATGCATTGGACAAGTACTATCTTTTCCGGAATTTTTCTTCTCCAATTTAATATTCCCAAATTAACTACAATTCAATTTTGTATACAAGAGAGTGTATTTCATTTTTTTAATAGTTGACTTTTGTTTTGTAATCTTACATTTATCGATGTTTGTTATTGATCAATGACATTAACTAATGGCTTAGGAACATAAACAAATGAAACAAAATCTGTTTTCAATCACTTTTTAATTGGTTTCCATATCAGAAAATAAACAGATGCATGTATTTTTTCCATCAACCAAACTAATGACGATAAAATATTGACCCCATTCAGACTCATTGACGTCAAAGGATTGAATCCGGTCCAACCCGATCTGTGGACAAAAAAACAAGAATGTTACTTGACGAAGGTATGTCTTATTTATTACATCATAACAAAATATACCTTATATGTTGTTGATCAGATTCATCTACACTTACAAATCTTCTGACGACGTATAATCCGAATTTATTACTAAATAATAATTTATCTTTTAAAGACTTTAAATCAAGCCTAGTCTAATCGTTGTAATAATAATTTTGTTTTTAGTCATCCACAAAACATGAAATTAAAAATCTCAATTCTTAAATAACAAACATCCAAAGATTGTTATAATTTTTTATAGTTTATATGAAAAGATCCATTTTCCCAACAATAAATTCCCACTGTATGAACAACAGTATACAATTTTCCAATTTTCTTCAGAACCCAAAAATAAAAAGTAGTGAACAAGGGATACCAACCTTTTGTAAGTGCAGACCGCGTGAATATATGTCACTGACACAATGCACAACACTAGTGTTCACCTTTTCTCATTGAACCTGGGTACGTATTCCATTGTGGATGCGGAACCAATTGATGAATTGCTGCTGTTGTTCTTTAAAGACGACTTCTTCGTGCGGAAGCTCAGTCTGGCGTCGCCGCGTATCAAGCGGTCGAGGGTTTGCCTCAAGGCCGAGTGCTTCCTTTCGAAGGGATTTGTATACATCTTGTATGTGCAACGGCGCGTGCGTTCTGAACCAACGTTAGATTTGATCTGAACCATCGCTCCTCCGACCGCTCTTATAACACTAAGTATGACGCGGGTGCACGCCGCGAATGACGTCATAGCTTTTTGCTCGCCCGTAATTGTTATCGATGAGATGGCGTTTTGCGTTGTGGTCTGTTCACCTCATTGATTGTATCCTATATCCGCCGCATACACCGCTATGTGCGTGGAACGAGTTAAACGACGCGTACTTTCAAATTTTCTTCTTCGTAGTGATTCGAATTTGAAACTTTAGAACTTTAGTAGTAGGTGTTAGTCTTGATTAGAATGTACCAATAAAATGATTTAATTGAAAATACAAGCAAATGTGCGGGAAGTCGATGGATGCAGGTGGCTCAGGATCGTACTTCGTGGCAGTCTATGGGGGAGGCCTATGTTCAGCAGTGGACTCAAACAAGCTGAAATGATGATGATGATGATGACAAGCAAATTATTAATCACTATTACTATATTAGGGTATAATTTCCTGCAACATTGCTTTCGCTTTCATTAATACACGGTCTTCGAATAAGACGACTTGTATTAATGATTAAAATTTAGCAATCAAGATCATAATAAACCCAAGTAAATGATTCACGTGAACGGTAGAAAACGTAAACATCAAATCCAGTTCTGGCCAAGTATACCATTGCATATGTCTCGCGTGACATTGTGGAATTACCTCGCAATTAAAAATTTTCAAAACAAAATTATGCTAATACCCAGTCATGTTTCCGGACGGGGTGTTTTCCTTCCACTGATTACAAACAAAACGTTACATTAACGATATACGTCATCAAAAGAGTCGGTGATATCTTTTTCTGTTATTGATCCTGCTCACTATATTCTTTTAACAGCGGCATCTCGGGTGTCTATGTTTTGCGATAAACACTTATTACGAAAGAATCAGCTTGTCTATTTGTTCTCCCCTGAAAAAGAACGTTCGTCATTTTCGAGATCATACACCCATGTGGTATTAGAATTTTTAAAACTTATTAATTAACAAAATAAATCTACAATCTCTGTGCTTTTGATTACTCGCGTATCAAATTTATTTACATTTTATCCATCCAACATATGGATAAAATGATAAATAATAGATCTTTCTTTATGAAAATGACGTTCATTGAGAGCATTATTGCAGATATGTACTGCCAAGAACTGAAGGCTTTGGTTAATCGGTCGCCCCCGCTACTCCTTCACGACAACGCACGACCATAGGCTGCACAAAAGACAGTCACCAAGCTGCAAGAGTTGGGGTTGGAAGCTCTCCCTCATCCGCCATACTCCGACTACATCCAAAATTTGGATGACTTTTTAGCGGGAAAATAATTCAATTCAGGAGAGGCAACAAAATGCCTTTGAAGAGTTTGTTTCCTCCCGCCAGTTTCCCCCATATATAGATTATTTATCCACATACCATGTTCTACTTAATCCAAAAACTTGAGTTAAGGTAAACATGGCAACATATACTTACTTCAGGTATTTGAATAGTTTTAAAAGGTAAGTATGCATCAATTTTAAAAATCATTCAGGTAATTTATTCACGGGCAGATCACTTTTCTAATAGTGAATGTGACAAATCATCGAGTTATTTGGTTTTTTTTTTAAATAACACATTCATTTTATTTTTTATATACCATCTTTGTCACGGTAGCGGAAGTGACCGCATTGTTTATTCATGGTCAGATTAATCTATTCGGGTAACTGTTATTCATAACAATTTTTTAATAAATACAAGGAGTCTGAGCTCAACATGATAACATCAACATATCAACAGTTGCTACGGGTCTCCAGAATGATTTGAGTATCATGTACTCTTGTTGATCCAATCAGACTAACAGCTTTAATACGGGATGTATGATCTGCTGTCAACATCAAACCATCTGTTATCAGTGGGATGTTTTTATTGTGTGAAGGTAGCAAACGAGCTGGTGGTTCACCTGATGTTAAATGATAACCGCTGCAAATGGACAATTGCCATCCGTAGCGTTGTCACCTTTTAATAAAGTGGGCCCTAGCTCACTCACCAGATGAAAGAAAAAGTATATAACACTTCGACTTCACGCCGATATTTGAACCGTACATTCGGACCAACCTATTAATGCAACAGGAAGTCTGTTGCGTATATGTTCATGCAGTGTATGTATAGTTCTGAACTGTGCTCTAGAGCGTCACGAGCGATCTGCCAACCCCGAACACCGAGGGGGCTTCACTTGCCGTGGGTGCGGCCGAGTGATCGACTCTCGGATTGGCAGAATGCTACTTAAATCATCTGTTAAAGTTGCTAAGGGCCTATTATTATTATGCTGACTTATAATGTTTCTTAAACACGTTATTTTTTTTACAATAAATTTAATTAAAGTAACAGCCTATACATGTCCCACTGCTGAGCCTCCTCTACACAGAGGGTATCAGGGCATAGTCCACCACGCGGCCCCACTACGGATTGGCGGACTTCACATATCTTCGAAAAATATATTTTTTTTATTATGATTTCGAAAATTTTATTACTAATTTCAATTTTTTAATTTGCTCAAGTCTGGATACAGCGTGACGTAGTCGCAATGGAAAACTGCAACTGAAAATTAGACGACTATGTCAACTTACAAATTAGCTCCTCGGAGGCATTTTAAAGTATCATAATCATTTGAGACGCTTTTTGGAATTTCCCAATGTTTTCAATCACGAAGAGGACGCGAATCGTAGCAATACGAACCTTAACGCCATATATTTAAAGTCCAATAATAAGTTGACATCGAAGATTCCAGCATGTACTTTGAATGGAAAATGATGACATTAATGGCTTACCGATTAATTGACCATTGACGCACTGCAAACAAACAACGCATTGCCATTAGCGTTTAGTTGCTAATGGAAATGCAGTAGCAAATACGCATAAAGGCGAAGTTATAAAGTAAAAAAGCAAGCGAAGTTATAGGATAATTTCTTGTATTATTGCGATTCTACATTACTAAATGAAATTAACTCATAATAATACACAAAATATGTATATAATAATTAAGACTTACTTAATTTTATAATTAATTATTTTACGGAGTAATTGTATTTTCATATAACTTTGTCAAGAACGTTTACAACAGTGTACTATGCACGTACTAAATAACAAGTTAATAATATAGTTCTTAAATAAAGCACATTACGTAAATAGAGCCAGTTCCTTCAGTGGCTGATAAGCAACTGACATCATGCCAGTAGACAATCAAATTTTTTCTGTTTCACATACTTGTATTGATTTTGCTAAAATGAGAACGTGAGTTGCTATTTGCAAATAGTCTTTCACGAAATTAGACGAACTGTCTGTGATTGCTATGTATTGTCTCAAATTGCCGATAAATAAGGACATATCTAAGACGTAGTAAAATAAACGATTTATTCACGAAAGTGCTGAGTGTACAAGGTACTAAAAATGCCGTTTTGTCTACATAATTTTTGCCCGTATGTTTGGTCTCAATACTAGTATTATTTTGCAATTTGAAAATACAGTAGGTGTTCATGGACAGATTTTTTACGAAAACCATCGCATTTTAAATTTCTAAAATAAATTTTCTTCTTTAATTGTACAATTAAAATGTACCCATAAACATTAAAAACTTTCTATTCCATTCTGAGCTTATCGATGTAGTAATATAGTATAATTATATAGTAATATATAGTATATTGTCAGATGAAGCTTTAATAGTCTCGGGACTGAAAGCAAAAACATCAGTTAATACAAGATATAGTATATAATATAGTAATATGTGGTAAGTCACTGTGGCATAAAAATAGTTATCGTGTGAAGTATTGCAGTAATAATTTTATTAATATTTTGGCCAATACTCGTACGAAAAGCGGAAATTCCATACGGATGTCCGAAATCCACGAATATATAATATGATTATGTATTGTATATGATAACCTTGGTTCTGTATTGTATAGATAATGTATTGTATATGATAGCTCGATTCTGTTTTTAAACCGACCAAAGTCTTAGCCCGGCTGACCCTCAGCTGTCAACGTTCGGTTATCTATCAGAGGATGTGACTTACCGCCCTTGGTCCCTTTAATAACCGTAGTCGAAGTCACGTGCGCCCAAATGTTTTATTAACGCGAGCAGAAACCGATCGATTAATTTGTAGTATTTGTGCTCAGCTCTTGGTGTGAATAACAAAAAGATTGAGTTCTGTTAAGGCATTTTTTTAAATTTTCGTCACTGTTTGTTCGAAACCCACAACGCCAAAATTTTTTGCTTATTTCTCTAGGAATATACAATTTAAAGTTTCATCTCGAGGGCATTTGCAGTATTCATCCAGTGAGTGAGGTAGCGGGAAGCCCTCGCCTTCAGTGGTTTATTTACTTTTTGTACACACATTACTTTTCCGATTTTGAGAACAGATATTGAATTTTCACAAATACCTATTTCAAATTTCAAATTTTAATGCTTTCAATTGTTTGATATCAATAACTGAAAAAGCTTTAAAATATATTACAACTAAACTATGATAGCAATAATCTATATATAATGTCTATCTTATATTGACCTATCGGAATGTAACTGAAAACTTCACCCTACTATCTTCTTCTTCTCTTAGAATATTTACTTAAAACAACATTACCCAGGCTGATATTAGACTTAGTAGTTCTTATAATTTTCAATTACATTTATAGTGGTTATTCCTGTTCAACAGTTTAATTTATTTTATCATTTTAAATTGCCCAAAAGGTGAAGATCTCATCTTTCTAGAAATAGTTCCTAGGCGAGGGCATCAAAAATACGTCGTAATGAGGAATCTTTACCGGAAAGTGTAAATCGTCTTACAAGTCGGAGAGAGTCAAGTAGAGCGGCTTAAAGAGCAAAATAATATAAATATACAAATTCACACCCGGGAATCGAGCTCTGAGCGTTCCCAACGCCTACGAGATGAGAGAGAAAGACGACAAACGTCAACGACTAGAGTTCGTAATCGACTTTTAGCTCACAGTAACAGATCAGCATTAATCCATTAAGCTCAACAGTCTTCCGTCCAAATCGGAGCAATGAATAAGATCTGCTGTAAGTGTTCTACCAAAAAATGGGT